GAGGGGTTATAGATATGAAAATGGCAGCTCTTCACCTAGTCTTCTGGAAATGGAAAATGGATGCCGCCTGACACTCCATTTGCTTCCCGTCTCGTGCAATCAAGAGCTAGTTACAAGAGCAGGAGCCTGCAGCTGCACTTGATCTACATGTTTAGGTAGGACATTAGAAAGCCCCTGGTTTTGCTTTTAACAAGACGCCTTTTCCTTGTTAAGTGTTTAGAAATTCAACATGGCGTATTTCCCCCGAGATCTGTTTTCCACTTGGCATATTCTGCTGCAGTGTTCCTGGATTTAGCCTTGGGAGGCCCGAGGAAGCCACAGGCTCCTCTGTGAAATGGCTTTCCCACATTAACTGTCACCCCCAGGTCTGGCTGTGACAGTAGCCATGACATTAATCTGCTCCTTCCAAAGATCTTCCATCTTCCAGCCGTCCTCCATGACAAGAATAGCCGTTAGTTAAGTACCTCTAACTGGGGAATACAAAAGATCAGAATTTCGGGTAGAAAATATAAACAACTTCTGGGAAGCCAAAAGCCTTGTACATCTTGTTTGAAAATTCCATTTATTTCACTCTAATGGTAACAAATACGTACAGCACAAAGTAAAATCCTAACAGTACAGATCAGGTCTCAGTATTTCACCCTGGGTTTGTTCTTAACTCTGCCCGTTCGTTGCTGGCAGTGTGAACTCAGTCACACTCCTGGGCTCTTTACATGGCTTTTCACCTGATTATGCCTGTGAGGACTGAGCATGGCATAGTGTGGAACTGTCTGTTAAAAGCACACGTTCATCCATAGTGAAATCACTGGCGTTCAAGATACGCACAATAAAGCCAGGCAGTGGCGGCGCACGCCTTTAATCCCAGCACTCAGGAGGCAGAGGCAGGAGGATCTTTGTGAGTTCAAGGCCAGACAGAGCTGTTACACAAAGAAATACTGTCTCGAGTTAAAAAACAAAAAAAGATACACACAGTATACTAATGTGGCTTGTGGGGTGTTCATTGTCAAGTTAGTTGGAAACCAAGCATGTGTTCTTGTTTAAAATTGACAAGCTTTGAGGTTCCAGATGAAAATGGTCTAATTTTGGTCCATTTCCTCCATAATCTGGTGAGAAGGTACTGCAGCATGCTCTGCCCTCTTCTCCCCGTCAAGAATTGCAGTTCCGGGTCACAGGAACATTTTGTTTTGTGTACTCTGGTCTACTGTTTAAGGTGGCCATGATTGCTGAGCAGGATGAGCTGTTTATTTGCAGATGGATGTTTTCCAGCCCGGCATCTAGCAGAGTGCCACCGATTACAGTAATTATGGCTCAGACATTCTGAGCGGATAGGCTGGGTATATAGTGTTTGGGTAAGAAAGAAATTTACTAATTGAAAACAGGAAATTAAATTTACTCTTACAGATAAACCTCTTTTGGAGATTTAAATTTTTTTAATTTTTTTTTATAGCATAGAGAAGGCCTTGCTCCTGATCCCCACACCATGAAGGGAAGGAGGGAGGGAGGGAGGGAGGGAGGGAGGAAGGAAGGAAGGAAGGAAGGAAGGAAGGAAGGAAGGAAGGAAGGAAGGAAGGAAGGAATTGATTCTGGGGTGGGGTAGGTCTGATTTTGGCTGCTATGCTGTGGGAAGTAGGAATTCTGTTTCAGGTAAGTCCAAACTCTTTGTTCCAAACTATTAAAAAAAAAAAAACCAAAAAAAAACAAAAAACAAAAAACCCAGAGGGCACATCCTAAGGATTAGACTTCCTGCATCCAAGATTTGCCCTCCGTAGCCTGCATCTCTCATGTTCAGACCCATTGTGCTTTGGTCCTGTGTATGTGCCGTAGGAAACTGAAATACACACAAAAGAAAGAAAAACCTAGAGAAAATACCCAAGGAGACTGGGAGAACCTACCATGGAAGAGCACCGTCCTTCACTTCCGACAGTGGGACAGGAAAGGACCGGAGGGGGTGGGGCAGGCTTGGAAACTAAAGGCTTTGCTGTGAAGAAGGGGAGGCCTGACCCTAGCCCAGAGTCAAAGCAGACTCCACATCCATCCCATGCCACAGTGCTTTCTCAGACTCCGCCTCTGTCCTCCTTCCAAAGTTCCCTTAGTCCTTTGCCACCCAAAGGAAACAAGACGGCCCTCAGTAAAGCTTGCCTCCCTTGACGGCCTCCCGAGCCAGAGTCTCCTGGAAGTAAGGTAGGGTTGATCGCTGCCACACTGAGACCAGCCATGCCATTCCAGGGGCCTTTTCTCGGTCTGACATACTTCCAACATCGTTTGATTATAGTTTGTTTCTTAAATTTACAAATGCAAAATTAATATTCCAGTGATACACTTAACCGTGTACCTGGAATAACCATAACCGCTCACCCTTCTCGATGTCCCTCTGTGTGTACATGCCAGAAGAGGGTGTTCGGTCTCTTCTGTCCCTCTATCAGATGTTGGCTTTATTTTCCTTGAAACAGTCTCTCACTGGACCTGGAGCTTGCTGTTTTTCAGCAGAACAGGCAGCCGGCAAGCCCCAGTGTCTGCCTGTCTCCACTCCCCACCCCAGTGTTGGGGTTACAGGTGCAGGGACACACCCAGCTGTTTACTCGGGGGCTGGGATCCAAACTCAGGTCTTCAAGCTTGCTCAGCAGGTTTTAACACTTCTGTTTTGTTTTTGTTTGGTTTGGTTTTTTTGTTGTTGTTTTTTGAGGCAGGGTTTCTCTGTGTATATAGCCCTGGCCTTGAACTCAGAGATCTGCCCACCTCTGCAGTGAATGCACCTTAACTCCTTAGCTAGAGACGCATCTCGGTGGTAGAATCCTTGCCTGGCATGCAGTAGGCACTCCTGCCATCCTATTAAGAGGCCAGAGCAGAAAGATCATTTAAGTCCAGGAGTTTTAAGACCAGCCTGAGAAAATAGCAAGACTCTGTGTGAAAACAAAGATAAAGCTTCCTATGGTAGGTAAATTTACCACTGGCAAATGTATAACAGAGAAATGTTTAATGAAAAAGATAATGAAGATTCCATGAGGCTTCTTCTCTTTCGTTTTACACTTTCTAGAAATTCAAAGATTGCTGGTTATATGTCTTTCATTAAAACCAATTTCTATTTCCTGTCCCCTGCCTTTTAAGGTTTTTGAAGTTTATTTACGTATTTTGTACGTGTGTGATACCTGTGTCCGAGTGCAGACACCCACACGCCACAGGCGTGTCCAAGTCAGTACTCCTCCTGGGGTGGGATCTGGGAATCGAACTTGAAGCTTGTACAGCAGGTGCTTTACCTCCTTAGCGGTCTGCCGGCTCCGTTCCTTGCTCTTTACAAACTTAACAGTGTGTCTTTGTTTCTCATTTTAAGCAAGGTGCTTGTAAAATCGTTTTCCACTGTTTTATGAAGGAGTTCTCCAATGTTTTCTAAACAAAGTTTAAAAATCTATTCCTACACATGTTTGTCCTTGTAAAAACAATTATATTTATTTTTATATTGAAAGGGGCATGCTTGTGCCACAGCGTGTGTGTGTGTGAAGGGAGGCGGTTCTCTGTTTCCACTCTGTGAGTTCCAAGGATCAAACTCAGGCCCGTCTTCAGGCTTGGTGGCAAGCTCTCTTACCCACTGAGCCATCTTGCCAGCCCTGTGCTTAGCCTTTTAATGTCAGTCAAGTACTTTAGTTTTCTCAGAATAAGGGTATCGGAAATATGTATTTCCTATAAAAAGAATAAATTGCTGACTTATTGATTTTTTTAAGATAATGGTTTCTATAGACCCACGTTCAGAGAACCCCGTAGAAGACTATTTGTCTAGAGCTGTTTGCTCCTAAAAGCTCTGAATTATAAAAAGAACTAATGGAATCCGTAATTATCCGAGATTGCTGCCTGGAACTGGAAATCATATTAAGTACTTTCTGCCATTGATCGGATAAATGACATTACAATCCGTCCTAGCTTGCAGCCCCTGACATCCACAGTGCAGCCCACAGTGCCCACCCACGTCGTCATCTGTGGCCTGAAGCAAGCAGGCACCTCCTCCCAGTCGGCTGGGTGTGCAGAAGTGAGCAGCTTCTTCCCTCCTGCCTCTCCACACTGACCCTCTTTGCCCCTCCCCCGCACTTTGGAGGCCTTCGCTCCTGAATAAATGGCAAGCAAGTGCTTTTGGTTTGAGATAAGAGATGGCGTATGGGAAGGAGAGAGGTGTGTGAAAATCGGAAGGCTGCCTAACGGGTGGTGGGGGCCGAAGGTACCTGATGCAGAGTTTTCTGATGAAGCACCAAACTGTCACAGCTTCCCAGTTCTGCAAAGCTATGCAAAAGTTGGGTAGTTTCCAATTAAATTTACAAAAACGGGGGTGGAGTAAGGGTAGGTGTAATAGCACTCAGGAGGCTCAGAGAAGATCGCAAATTCAAGGCCAGCCTGGGCTATAGCAAGTTCTGAGCTATCCTGAGCTATGGGATGAAGGAGACCCTTATCTGAGGGGAAAAAAGAAGAACCAGGGGGTGCTGGCTAAATAGTTTCCTTACCTCTGCATACAAAGTAATGAGTCATAGAAAACTGAAATTCTAGAAGAAAAGTCCCCAGAAGGTTATGAATAGAGATCATTTAGTAATGTGTACTTTCCCTGAGGAACTGAGGTAACTCATTGGATGTTAAGTTTGCTGCACATGTATTTTAAGCCTTGTGTCTTTGTGTCTTAAATACTGTCACTGAGCCAGATGTCATAGCACATACATGTAATCCCAGCATTCATGCTAAGGCAGGAAAATTGCCACGGATTCAAGACCAGCCTAAACACGACCCTGTCTCAGGAAGGGAGAGGGAGGGAGGGAGGGAGGGAGGGAGGGAGGGAGAGAGAGAGAGAGAGAGAGAGAGAGAGAGAGAGAGAGAGAGAGAGAGAGAGAGCAAGAGCGCCTATTGTTAAGTGAAGAGAGCTGGAGTAGAAATCACTGAAATGGTGTCCTGTGGTTGCATGTGTAACACATCACCCATGAGTCCCACCCACCTTAACGTAACCGGTTCTCCCGATCGATCTCCGACAGGCCGCTCCTGCAGAAGGGCTGGTGTCCATACTAAAGAAGCGGAATGACACAATGGGAGACCATCCTGCCCAAATGCAGCCGAAGCCAGCTAAGCGGAGAGTGCGGTTCCAGGAAATCGATGATAACCTGGATCAAGGTGCGCTCAGCCCCGGGGTCACCAGCTGTGAGTGCTGGACAGCCGTGTGACCCGATGTTTGCTAGCAGGCTTTGTGAGGACTGTGTGGACTTGCTCTGTCTTATGGCAGGGAAACGGAAAGAAATCGAGTTATAGCTTTAATTTTTGAAGCATTTTTTGCTGGAATAAGTGAGTAAGTTGCAAAATTGGCCTTGTGGTCTCCCCAGTCCAGAAGTGGTCCAAGTCTAAAACTCACCTCAGGTGTTTTCCTTAGTATTTTCCTCTTTCCTTTTTTTCCTCTGTAGTGAGCTTGTTTTTTGATTTTGTTTTCAGTGACACATTAGTGCCTCTTTTATCACGAGGCAGTCTCTCCTCCGAATGGAAGCTGAGCGCCTCCCAAGGGCGTCTGCTCAGCCCAGCTGTCGTTGAGCAGCCCTGTCCCTGGCCAGCACTGGGCCATGTTCTCACTGCACAGCTGCCCCGGGTGGCTGCAGATAGTTACCTGAGGCAGGGGTGAGTCAGGGAAGTGCAAACCAGCTCAGGGCCGGTGAGTGTGCTTCTCTACACTGAGCAACGGCGTGAACACTGAACTGTGTTTCTAAGACAGCGGGAGAGCTGCCTAGAGTGTTCAACTGTGAAGCTGAAAGGCCCTGGGAATGCTTTATTTTTATCCAAGCATCTTGTTGTAACCAGCACAGCCTCCACACCATACCCCCACCCCTGTGGAGTCCTCTATCCTGACCACACACAAGGGCACCAGGGTCTGGAACTCTCAGGCCACCTCATTCTTCACCAAGTTCCTCAGCTTCATCCTCCTCAAAACACAAAATAATAGTCACTGCTCTGCCGCTCAGGACAGTGAAAAGCAGGTGGATACAGTGTGTGAGTCGGTCTCAGCAGTCATGAAACCTTTAGGTAAGGCTTACACGTGTGTCGGTGCGAACCTCACCAGCTGCCTGGAGCTCCCTGAAGAGGCCCAACCTTCCACTCCTCATACTGTGTCCTAGAAGTGTATGTGGACGCTCACAGGTGATTTTTTTTATGTGCATGGGTGTTTTGCCTACATGTGTGCCTGTGTGCCACATGTGTGCAGTACCTGAGGAGGCCAGAGGAGGGCGTCAGATCCCCTGGAACTGGAGTTGCAGAGGGTCATGAGCCATCACATGGTGCCTGGGACTCACACCTGGGTCGTCCGGAAGAACAATCAGTGCTCTTAGACACGAGTCATGTCTCCAGCCCCTCACAGGTGCTTCTACATTTTATGGCAGCCACATAACAAAAGTAAAACTATATGAAATGTGCTCATTTAACTTAGTATATCAAAAAGATTGCAGCATGTGATTGATCAGTGTGGGAAAATTGCTGGTGAGATATTTCACATCCTCTTTCCCACACTCAGGCCTCCAAAGCTGGAATCTATTTCACGTTCACGTTGCATCTTTTTTGTATCAGTCACAGCCACTCATGGCTTGTTCCCACCACAGCTCATAATGTATTTTATTTAAACAAAATAGATACTTTCAAATACCTAAATGGTATTAAAATGTACCTCCATGTACCATAGGACCCAAGACTCTAGAGTAATAAAATCTGCAGATGCTCAAGACCCTTATCTGAGACGGCATATTGTTCTCATGGACTGTTCACACTCCCTATGTGCTTGGATGGTGATTATTGGAGTCACACCTGTGCCACAGAGTATGCGTGGAGATCAAAGGACAACTTTGGGGAGCTGGTTCTCTTCTTCCACATTAATTAATTCCAGGGATTGAACTCTGGCCATCAGGCTTGCGAGCCAAGTCCTTTACCAGCTAAGCCATCACCCCAGTCCTTCCTGCATACTTGGTTTATTCTTTCTGTTTGTTCCTTTTCTGCCTGTTTTTGGTTTTTCGAGACAGGGTTTCTCTGTGTAGCTTTGCGCCTTTCCTGGAACTCACTTGGCAGCCCAGGCTGGCCTCGAACTCACAGAGATCCGCCTGGCTCTGCCTCCCGAGTGCTGGGATTAAAGGCGTGCGCCACCACCGCCCGGCTTTTCTGCCTGTTTTGAGACAGGGTTCCTCATGTAACAGCTCTGGCTGTCCCGGAACTCGCTCTATAGACCAGGCTGGCTGCGAACTCAGAAATCCTCCTGCCTCTGCCTCCTGAGTGCTGGGATTAAAGGTGTGTGTCACCACCACACCCAGCTATTTATTCTTTGTTAGTGTCTTGGGTAAGAGAGTTGGCTCCACAATTGAAATCATCCAGATTGCATATACTATCTCATGAGTTTAAATAATTTGTAAGTCATTGTTGCATGGTATTGTTTAAGGGAATACAATGAGAGAAGAGTACATACTTAGTACAGATAAAATTTCTTCAGACTTTTTGACCCACGGATACGGAGGACTGACTGTTCACGGTATGAAGAGGAAACGAGAAGAAATGCATAAACTAGGTCGCTAGCATAGATTAGCAGGCAGAGGGAACTGCGGTTAGAGGAAGGGCAGGTGAAGAGACTCAACTGACTAGGGCTGTGTGACGCTGTGTGACGCTGTGTGACGCTGTCTGACCCTGTTCTCTTGTTTGCAGATGAAGTCAGCAGTGGCTCCTGCATCCTGCTCATCTTGCTGTGCATAGCCACGGTTTTCCTCAGTGTTGGAGGGACTGCGCTCTACTGCACTTTGGGTGACATGGAGTCACCTGTTTGTACAGACTTTGCCGACAACATGGACTTCTATTACACGAAGCTGCTGCAGGGGGTGGCAGGACTCAAACACTGGGTCTACCTCTCCTAGCAGCAGGTGGGACAGGCGTGCTGACAGACAGGCAAAGATGCAAACTTCCCAGACAGCTTTTATTTCAGGAGTCACGAAACATTCCCCCTCCCCAGCAGCGAGGACCCCAGGACGGACATAAGAAACAGCAACTTTAAACGCAGCCCAGAGAACTCTATCAGGAAGGCTGATGCTGGTGTGGGCACTGGGGACGGAGGGAAGGCGCTGTGGAGAGCACGCCTCTCCTTGCTGCTTGCCCGTGTAGTGAAGCACACTGAGCAGCGTTGTCTTGCAGGGCTGAAGGACACTCCCGGTTTACAGTCGTTGCTCCATAGGCACTGCTTCCCACCGCCGCCGCTGCCACACAGTACGTTCCTTTGTAATCAGAGAGAGTTACCTTATGGTTCCAATGCCGTTTTTTAGTTAATCTGGGAGCTGTATAATTTAAGCTTTGGGCATTACTCTAAATTCTCCATTTGTGAAATGGTTGTGTGGGTGCGTGTACGTCTGAAGCAGTTACCACACGTGGATATCCAGCCTAGAGTACAAAGATGACCTTTATTCTTTTAACTTGACTACAGTGTGCAGGCACACACACACACACATCTTTGGAGGAGGCTTACCTGTGAACTAGATAAACTGTAGGAATATTGGCCTTGAGTTGAGAAACTGGCGGATCTGTGGCAATGAATTTGACAGGCCCGAAGGCACCATGACAGAACTCCCAGGTCTCAGGTGAGATTCCGCTGTGACTTCTGTGCTGCCTGAAGCAATGTGTCCTGGTTCCACCGCTCAAGAAAGACTTACTGAGCAGTCATTATATTCTGGAACTAAGACTAGGAATCCAAGTGAGGGGTAGTTCCTAGTGTATGGGTGTTCATGTAAGGTAAACCCTTACTCAGTTAAATGAAACAGGACACCACATGTAACTGAGTAGTTGCAGGCCATACGCTCGGGTGTGTGGAATGTGTGTTCCTACCATGGACTCATTTTGGTCCCCTGTCATGGGGTCATGAAGCGGAAATTCAATCATACCTTAAATAGACAAGTTTAAATGAACAGTTCTGTTTAAATCCGTTGTTAGGTGGCCTTTCCTTATTTACGGTACAGTGATCTAATGTTTAGGAAGCCTTGCTTTGACTTTTTGTATTCTAGGCAACATCTTTTTTTAAAAATCATGAATTATAGTTTTTTAGCAAGTGATCTTTATGTTCTGTTTTCATGTTAGAATCATTTGGAAGGAAAGGAGAGAAATTGCTTTGTAGTTACTGGCTGGCACAGTACCTTCCTTTGTGTTTCTGCTTATTTATTTGGACCCTGTGAATTTAAAGGGCTTTTATATGAGTTGAGAGTGTGTGGCTGAGCATGTATTTGGTCACCCCACCGCTACCTATTTAATTAGATACTTAGTGTTTTGATTTCTATTGTTTCAGCTCCGTATATTTTAGCTTATTTTTAAATTGACATTTTATTTTTACTATATACTGTGTGGCTTATCTCTTATCATGTCACCATAAACTGTAATATTTTCAATGGTTATAGAGCAGAGTTATTTATTTAGAAGTATACAGAATACTGAAATTTAGATTCCTTATACCTAAGGCTGATTTTATTAGAAGATTATTTTAATGTCCTATTATAAATTTTAAGACTTTGTATTCACATCATGTGTAAAATAGGTCCCATTGTCCTGGTATTGCCATGAGCAACGGTCCTGTGGAAGCCGTTAGTGAGGATTCTGTGCGGGCCTCCTCATGATACACAAATGTATTTCACCCTCGTGATTTCTAGTTGCAGGGATTTGGTGGCCCTTGTTTCTGACAATTTTATATCAAGAAAAGTTAAAATCTTCCTCCTGTTTGCCTACTTTAGGTCACTCAGAGTCCTGTGTGATCTCTGGTGTTATATTTACCTCTCGGCCACCTTGGCCACTTTCTAAAACCCAAGGTTTCCCAGGAGCCATCATCAAAAGAAAGGCCCGAAATGACACCTGGCTAACCGGGGACCCCGTTGTGCATCAGAGGAGCTGGGGGTCACCAACTTCAGGGACCACAGAGTGATCGGGAGTAGGCTGACCTACTGACTTAAAGTGGGCATGAAATCTCACCTAGAAACACTAGGGCACCTTTGCAAATGTAATAGTCATTTACTGCATGAACTGGAGCATCCCACCTAGAGAGGAGAGGACGTTATCCCATGCATAAAGAACTCATCTACTGTATTGAGATACCATTTCTCCTCTCGTTTGAAAGTGCTGACAACTATTTATAACTAGCCTTCTTAAGAACTGTGTTTGAGGGTGTCAAATCAAGCTTGTAATTTAAAATCTATACCAACAAAATGTCTCAGAGAATTTATTTGTACTCTTAATGTTAAGGGAACTGATTGAAAACAAAATATAATGTCAGAGTTGGTCCAGCCCCTGAAGGAGATGCCATCTATTTTGGGGAAGTCTTTCTTTTTCTAAATTACATTTACTTATTTATTCTGGGAGGAGGCCACATGTGTGCCACACTGTACACTTACGGAGTCACTCTGTCCTGCATCGTTAGGGTCCAGAGATTCATACTCAGGCCGTCCACTTGACGGCCAGCACCTCTCCCCACTGAGTCATCTGTGAAGATGTCCTAATAAGCCCCTGAGTAACAGCTTCTCGGCTTCTAAAATACTTCTTGCCTCTGCCTGACGTGGTAAACCAAACTCCGCTCTCAAGTGCATCTTTTTGGACTTGAACATCAAGTCTAAAGTCTTATTTTATCGAGCTGTGAATTGGGATGTGAGATGTGGCGAGGATGCAAAGTCTGAAGGTCAGGCTTATTTTGCAAGGGCAGACGTGATTTGGGTCTTCTGAATGACAGGACAACATGGCTGAGAGGAACAGGGATAAAGGACCAGGAGGAGCTGAGCAGGGGGACATGGAGGACAAAGACATCCTTTGGCTGCTGACCTGTTGTCCTGACACTGGCCTTTGTGGCATGTGCTCCCCACACACAGGCAGCTTTTTACTTTTCTCTATGAGCATATGTTAGTTATGCATAATGGGTTTCATGATGGCATTTGCATACATGTAGGTGGTGCGTTTTGAGCGGCTTCACTTCCTGGTACACTCTTGTCCCCCAACCCCGTCTCCCCACTCCCACCCTCCGCTGATCCCCTTCAAGAGGCTGGGTTTTCATCCCACTGCTGGCAGGAACCCTCTCATTTCTACGGGCACAGTTGATCTGACCTTGGTCTCATGTGGTACTTTATGTGGTGTTTGTGGTACTTTAACATTCATTCCTTCCATACCTGGATTAGCACACTTACGGCTCTCAACCACAGGTCTCATGATGCCCAAGTCCACCACACTTTGTTTCTGTCACATGACCTGCACCTTCAGAGACAGAAAGAGTGATTCTGGGGCCCATGCACTTTATGCCTTGGCCTTCGAATAGCTACTTAGTAAGCTGGGTATAGCTTTGTGCCTGGTGTGGAGACGCATGCAGAACTTTGCACAGTGGTGTTGGCTGCCCTCTGTACCCTGACACACATCCAATTGCCTGCAGTGTAAGCACTGTGAGCATGGCCCCACCCAGCTCAAAGAACTTGTGTCTGGTCAAGGAATGCAATTTGCCAAGAAGGAACCGAAAAGAAACTAGATAACAACGGGCTACCTAGAGGGTGGTAACTAGAGTTCATCGTTTTCGGTCATGTGTCATGAACTGTTAGGAATAAGGAGATGCACGGCCACCGATAGGAAGGTCAACAGCAATCTTTCCTGCCAGCCGCCACTGCTTCACACCTGCATGAGCACGTCCGTCCGTCTGCCGGGAGTTCACAGCAGGCGGGTTTCCAGTGAAAACTTTCTGTTCAGAACCGAAGCTCTGGGGCTGGGTGTAGTTCAGAAGTAGAGTGTTTGCCTCTTGAGCACAAGACCTCAGTACTGGGCTCAATACTCAGTGTCACAAAAGAAAAAAAGAAGTCTTAATGGCCCTGAATTAAAAACCACTTCACAAGGAAAACCAGTGCCAGAGGGTGTTGCCAGTCAATCTGTCAATCATTGAAGAAAGAAATACCCATCTCACAAAATGCTCTTTTAAAAAGAAAGCGCTGCTGGTCCGTTTCAGGAGAGCAGTATCACTTTTTCAGAAAATCGCTGATAGGAGAGGGGGAGGATAGAGTGGGGGAGGCAGAGAGAGCTCAGCTGGTGAAGTGCCAGCCTGGCAAGCCCCAGGACCTCAATTTGATCTCCAGGACCCACACAAAAAAAATGCGCTCTCGTAATTCCAGCTCTAGGGGAGGAGCCGGGAGAATCCCTGGGTCTCCTGGCCAGGCAGCCTTATTGGTGATTTCCAAACCAGAGACTGTCTCAAAGAAGGTAGACTGTGTTTGTGAAGGTGACACCCCAGCCTGGGTTACACAGTGAGACCCTATCTGAAGAAACCAAGCCAGCTGAGGAGACATAGCTCAGTATAGAGGGTTCGCCATTGACCAGGTCAAGAGTTCAGGTGCCAGGACTACCATAGATGTGACAGACACAATTCAAATCAAAATTGCAGCAGTTTTTAGAAACTGACAGTTTAAAATGCATGAGATGCAAAAGACCTAGAAGATAGTGGAATTGTCGGAACAGAGTTGGAGGACCCTTGCTGCTGTTTCCAAGGCTTCATCCTACAGTTACCGGCTGGTGACCAGGGAGACCTACACCAAGAGCCAAGTGTGCATGTTCAAGGGAGCCACAGGGAGCCAGGCCAGCTCAGTCAGGAAAGAGGAACCCATTCAACAAATAATGCTGGCAAGATTGCATGTGCAATTGGAAAAAAATTAACATAAACAACGAAAATCTGAAGTGAATCGGTTTTAGGTCTAAAACGTGAAACTGTAGGGTAACTAGAAGAAACCAGATCAGCTTTGCCGCTTTTACATGAAAAGATACTCCTCAGAGCTCAGAGTGTACGGGCTATAAAAGGAACACTCGTAACTGGACTTTTAAAAATGTGCTTTTCACATAATGTGGTTAGGAAAATTAGAGACAAGTACTCAAATGGAAGGAAATAGTCACAATATTTTTTTCAGTTTCGTGGGCTGGGCAGTGGGTCCCTGCTGGTGTGTGTGTGGAGACCAGAGGACAGTTTCTGAGAGTCCGTCCTTCCTCTTCCACCATGTGAGCCCTGGGGAACAAACGGAGGTCATCTGGCGTGGCAGCAAGGGCCTCACAATGAACTTGCCAAAGACCTTGTAAATTTAGAGTATGTAAGAAGGCTCACATAATTCAGAATTATGACCGCTTCGAAGTGCCTTCATGAGAGAGAATGTGTGAATGGCCAATGAGGACATGAAAATATGCTGAGGGTCCTTAGTCACCAAGAAAATGCAAATGACTGAGCTACCTCTGGGCACTTAGAGTCTCCAAACTGCATGGACGGACAGTACAAGGTTGGTTATTTCAACATAAGGAATTCAGGTGGTAGTAAGAGAACAAAGAGAAGGAGGATGGTCACCTCACTGGGTGTAGAAAAGTATTAAACAGCCTTGTGACTCGAACTCAGATTAAACAAAGACTAGAAGAAGAGTAGGAGGGTCCTTGAAGGGTTATGAGGATATGTGAGGCAAGGAAAAGTCCTTCTGTCCTTCAGATGACTCGCTCCATTTCACTGCTGTGGCTTAATTAGAAAAACCAAAACCTCTGGTGACTTCCACATACCTCAAATGTGCAAGACCTAGCCACCCGCTAGCTAACAGAATGTTTCGATAAACTCATTAATTCCAAATGCCCCACCCCGTCCTAACTCTGTTTACTGTTTGTGAATCCCTCTAGTTCCTTGAATGCTGAGCTGCTGACTTAAGACAACACTGGAGCACGGTTGTCTTCTCAGCTCTCAGGAGGCTGAGGCAGGAGGATGGCCAAGTCTAGGCCAGCTTGGGTTACAATAGAGACCGTGGAGATTTTTTTGCTTTTTTAAGTGTTTCCTTTTGTTTTATTTTGTTTTAATTCTACGTGATGCAGCAGTTCACATTCCAAACCCAATCTAATAATAGTCTGTAAGGACAACACAGTGTCCCTCTGGACGGAAGGTATTGATCAAAAGTGAGGTTTCATAATTTCATTGCTTAATTGATTTGGATCAAAGGTCAGGCAGGAGATGTGCACTTAGGAGCAGAAGTAGCTTACATCATCCCCTCACCCATCAGCATGATGGAGTTCTAAGTAGCTGGCTTTCACTTTCCAAGTGCATGACCTGGGGTTGGCAACCTATAAACCAATCGAGAAAAACACCCTGAGCTTTCAAGGCTAGAAATAGGTCTATAAGTTGCTATGAATGAAGGTAATCTTTTTCCTTTTTTTGTAAAAGAATTTCTCTACATGTCTCAGGATGGCTTGGAATGCTGCATAGCCCAGACTGGCCTCAAACTCAGAATCCTCCTGCCTCAGACTTCCAGGGAATTGTGTGCTCTGCTCTGCTGTGCTTGCTTGTACCCGCCTTCCTGTATGTTATTGCTTCAGTGAAAATTGGTCTAAGAATAGCAGTTTCACCAGCCCCGGAGAAGAGGCTGTCCCCACGTAAGCTAGTTTGGTAGAGCATAAACCCTGAAGAAAGGAAGCAACCTCGGGCTGGAATCCCGATAACAAATGAGGTCCCGTTAACAAGCTGTTCAGCCTTCTCCAGCCTCCTGCCTCCTCATCTACAGGATTTCTAACAACTTCAGAGCTAAACCCCTCTGTATTCTTTGGCAGTCCAGTGTATTCTGCTTTCCCTCACCGAGAAGAAACAACTTGGGTGGCTGCATTTGCTGGGTGGAGTTGGAGTATTGCATGGGAATTCTCTAAAGCCACGTGGAAGTGAGAGGCAGAAGCTGAAGACTGATGCATAGATTTTCAAACCATCTACCGTGCCCATGGGCCACTTCCAAGAGCCTGCCGCCAATGGTTCCTTCTCTGGAAAGCTTGATGCGTTGTGTAGCCTAATCCTGCAATCCTAGCTACAGCTGGTTAGACCGGAGGGTGCCTTAGGGTGATGCAGTCCCTGACGTTTGCATGCTAGGGAGGCGGGTGGCCTGGGTGAAGATGGGTTTGGAAGGGTGTTTGGCAAAGAGACTGACAGACAGGTCCTCCCTGACCACATGAGCCTGACACACAGACTCTGGGTCTAGCTCTGGCAGTGGAAGGAGCAGGCACCTTGCAGTGGCAGGGGAGAGCATGGAGCCAAAGGACCGAGGGACAGCAGAGCTGCCAGGGTAGACATCCTCAAGGTCTTGCCTCAAAGGTCACACAGTCGGTAAAGGCGCTTGCTGCTCAAGTCTGGTAACCCGAGGATGGTCCTGAAATGTGAGAGGGCAGAACTGACTCCACACAGCTGTCTTCCAACCTCCACATGCAAGTCGTGTCTTGTGCACACACACACAAATGATAAACACACTTTTTAAAGTTTTTCTTGAGATGTACTTTTTTTTTTTTTTTTTTTTTTTTTTGGTTTTTCGAGACAGGGTTTCTCTGTGTAGCTTTGCGCCTTTCCTGGGACTCACTTGGTAGTCCAGGCTGGCCTCGAACTCACAGAGATCCGCCTGGCTCTGCCTCCCGAGTGCTGGGATTAAAGGCGTGCGCCACCACCGCCCGGCAGATGTACTTTTTTTTATTTGTATGTTTGGCTTGTATGTATGTATGTATGTATGTATGTATGTATGTACGTGCATCAATGCATGCAATTCCTACTGCATGTCAGAACAGGCCAGAAGAGGGCGTCAGATCCGTGTGGGTGCTGGGAACTGAACCTGGGTGCTCTAGAAGAACAGCCAGTGCTTTTAACCGCTGAACCATCGTTTCATCTCCAACACACACAAAAAAAGTGTAAAGGGTCACCAAGGTGTAAGCAAACAGCAGTCTCGTTTCAGAAGGCTGGAGTGAGGTGACTTTTTCACTGCGCGTGCTCCTTACACAAGGTCCCCTGAGAAAGAGTCTGTCGTTCCCTATAAACTGAAGCCAAACTGCTCGGCAGTTTCCTGTGTAAACATTGCCTGGCTCTTTAAAATCATGTTATTTTACAGATACTGGGTAGTACAAACTCTGTCCAGTTGGCTCTGTTGTGTCCAGAACAAAGCTGTGATCCAAGGACTGTTGGCGACCTACTTAAGATCAGGAGCAACAGAAGAATGGAAGAGTTTCCACTTCTGGTTGAGAAATTGAAAATACCTGCAGGAAGCTGAGATTAAAGCACAGTGGGAGGTTGTGTGCCCAGCCACTTAGCTTGCTCAAGGCCAAGGACTCCCTGCCTAATACCAAAAATATAATTGGGCCAAAGAGAGTACAGGTACTCACTACAGAAGCCGACAAGTCAACCCCCGAGGAGTGACCTCTGAGATTGTCCTCTGGACTACATGTACACACACACACACATATATGGGTACATACAACATGCACACACACACCCCAAAAATGAAAAAGTATGTACCTGAAATAAAAAAAAAAAAAAGTCTGGCAAATGTGTCCCCACGTCCTGTTTCTCTGGACACAGGACTGTGTGATCTCTTCTCCGGTTTTAGGCAACATCAGCTAAACACCGTATGTGAGATACGGCATCGAGACCCATTTTGTTATAGCTCCTGGGTCTTCTGTTGGCACACTGGCTGCACCTGGGTCCAACACTCGATTAATCGCTGTGGAAAAGGATGACAAGTGGACGAGGGTTTGTTCCCTATCCCACCTGCTGTTCCCCAGCCAGGCACGTCCACGCACTTGCGTTTCCCCTGGGAGAAACAGCATCCCTCTTGATGAGAGATTTGCTCCCCCCTGACCTCTTCGTCAGAGACTAATCCCATCTTGTGTTTAAAATCATTACTCGTAAATAGAAGTGCAGTAGTGCCAGCCGAGTCCTGCTGGCCTCTCCTCTCCAGAGTGATGAATTGGCGAAAGAGTGGGAAAGGGCTGGGCAGGAGCAGGCAGTGAGGTCTCTACAGAGCCACAGCCTCTGGTGACACAGGACTCCTAAAACGGAATGAGCTGTGACCTGGGAGATCCCCTTCCTGGAGCTCCTTAGGCACCATGGGAAGTAAAAGCAAGGGCTTGTTGACTTGTTCTCCTCTGCTTTGTTAATTCTTATTGCACTTATTTATTTGGGTTGTTGTGTGTGTGTGTGTGTGTGTGTGTGTGTGTGTGTGTGTGTGTGTGTGTGTGTGTGTGTGTGCAGGTGTGGTTTGTATATGGAGCTCAGAGAACGTCTTTCAGAAGTTGGTTCACTCCCTCCACCGTGTGTGTCTCTGAGGTAGCACTCAGGTCCAGGCTTCAAGGACGTTCACCCGCTGACACATCGAACTGACTGCTCCTCCCAGCAGATCCAAACCAGGGGTGCAGCTCAGTCACATTCACCTGCTCATCCACAAAGCCCCCTGAACTTGTAAAAAGAAGAGTTGAAGGAAGGAGCTGGAGAGATGGCCCAGTGGTTAAGAGTACAGGCTGCTCTTCCAGAGGACCCAGGTTCAATTCCCAGCTCCCATATGGCAGCTCACAACTGTCTGTAACTCCAGTTCCAGGGGACCTGACACCTTCACATAGACATATATGCAGAACATCAATGCACATAAATAATAATAAATTATATACATACATACATACACACATACATACATACACATATACTTGAAGGAAAAGCCTGAGAGACCACAGGATTTTAGCAACCATGCTTGTGAGTGAGCACACACGAGTGGTTTTCTGTCTTTTGCTGGTTATAGTCTGGTAGGGCATAAACATATAAGCCATCAATAACTTAAGTGGAAACAAAAATGGAAAACCTTGAGACTATAAAAACAAAAATTCCAGGTGACTGACAGAGAGGAGAGCTCCCTTTCTGAACAGACCTTGAACAGGCTCTGCCTTCCCCAACTGCCCAGAGGCAGATCTCGTGGAAAACATGCCACCTCAGCCCCTCTGTGACCCCACGAGATGGCCATCTCAGCTTCCAGAGTGTGCCACGCACCGCACACGTGCAGGAGTTTAGGGACCACGTGCCCCTCCTCCTCCACCCCTCCTTGCCTGTCCTAGGTCCTGTCTCTAATGCTATTTCTGTTTTCAATAATATTTTCAGTTCTTCCGTGGAACGCTGTGGTAAAAATGAAAAAAAAAAAAAAGTATTCTTACTTCGACAAGGACAAACAGGCAGGTCAGAATTCAGGCCTGAAGAGCTCCAGAGGGAAATCAGCCATCCATTCTGTGCCTTTTGGAGATGGTGGCTCTTGCCTCATAAGTCCAGAAACTTTCCAATCTGAACCAAGACCCCAGGGAAGCGCACCACTAGATAGAGGCTCCACCCCAGGCTGGGAGGCACACAAGAGCCTGTCTCCAACAACTACATTTTCAAAATGACAGTTAAGGCAGTGGGAGCCAGGCATGGGGTGGAAGAATAGTTTTGTCTCTCCCAGCAATGCTTCTTAACTCTACAGTTAAATTTTCGTAGTCCCTTATACCACAAGAATCACTGACAAGCCACTTCAATGCCTGTCATCTTTCCGGAGTTTGTGAGTCGCCCTGGATAGGCTGCCGCTGCCCCCTGAGAGCCAATGGCTGGGCTCTAAAACTGGGCACAAGGTGAGTGTCCTGGAGCTAGCCTTTAGCAAGCCATTGATAAACCAACTCCAGAGCCCTGTCTACTGAGGAGAGCGGCATTGAAAGTGAGGCTTCATTTCCAGGCATGGCCTGCCACCGGCACTACATGGACAACGTTTACTAATCCTATTTCATCCGTTCAGCCCTTTGGACTAGTGCTGTTGGGGAGTGTTTGGCTTGACTCCAGTCAAGTTAAAATTCCTGCCTCTTTGGGAATATGGCTTTATACCCATAAAGCCAGATTAATACAGGGCCCATGAGTCAGCTCACTGCTCTGCCAGCCAGTAAATATCTCAGATAGAATGGGAATTACCGTGAAAACACGATTTCTCTTTTCATCTATGGGAGATGACGGAATCTGTAGAAGGTGGAATCTTGGGCTGGAGAGATGGCTCAGCAGTGCAGAACACTTGTTGGTATTCCAGAGGACCCAGCTTAGTTCCCACATGATTGTTCACACCATCTGTATCTCACCCCCAATGCAGAGGACCCACCTTGCGCACTGCATGCATGTGGTGCACATACATACATACATACAGGCAAAAGTTTCATATACATAAATGAAAATAATCTGTTTTAAAAGATAATTAAAAATTTTAAAGAGGGTGGAGGCGGCGCACACCTTTATTCCTAGCACTTGTGAGGCAGAGGCAGGCAGATCTCTGAGATGGAGGCCAGTCTGGTACAGAATGAGTTCCAGGACAGCCAGAGCTACACAGAGAAGGTAGACTTTTGTGGGAGGTCTTCAGCCATTAGAGGCATGCCCCTGAAGGGGATTTAAGACCCTAGCCCCTGCTCTTCCTCTCTTTTGCTTCCCGGATGCCTTAAGGTAAACAGCGTGTCCCCACCTTGATACACCATGCTGCCACTGTCCAGAGCAACATGGGCCACCCCTGAAACCGTGAGCCAAAACAAACCTTCCTTTTAAAGTTGATTTGCCGCGGGCATTTGTTGCGCTATTGGAAAGCTGACGGAGGCAGACCCGGTGAGCCCTCACCGTCCTGACACATAACAGTTCCCACTCCTACTGTGTACCACACCAGACCGTTTGCCCCCAGCACTGGCTTACCACATCCCAACACTTGTTGGTGGAATTAATTCGTGATTCAAGAAATAAATATATATTATATTTAATATATATTAATGATCGATATATTTAATATATTTATATATAATTTAATATATAATAATGATTCAATATATAAATGTTTTATATATATAGACTTGGAACACACCATCTTGGACTGAACTTCGGTTTCTATATCTCAATCTAATTAGAAGTTTCTGGGAGTTCACTAATAATCATGACGGTCCTTCTTGGGGTTGAGTGACTTGGAGGCCTTCCCTGGAGTAGGCTCCAGCTCCATTTCCGAAGGCACACCTTCTGTCTTCCCTCTTCCCACCCCTGACATGGCTATGATCATCTAAGGTGTCTGCTCTGGGTGCTTGGGTTCTCCGAAGGTCCACCCCACCCCTTCAGGGCCCTCGCTGGCTGGGATGCAGGTGATTAGCCTCCCTCATCACTAGAGGGCGAGCTTAACATAAAACACGATGAGATCCTCCTGACAACTACCCAAAGCTGGGTGCTTTGGTGAGGCAATCAGGACACTCAGTTCCACCTGGAGAGTAGGTGTAACCCGGGGTGCTCAGGTCAGTTCCGTGGCACCAGCTTCCTCCCGCAGTGACGACACACCAGGGCAGCACAGCCTGAACAGGGGAATCCTTTCACCCCAGCGCTGTTTATAGCACACCCCTCTGGGGTCGGGACAAGGCCCCGCAAACAACTGCGCATGGCATGTTCAGGAGCAGAGTTCCAGATATTTCTCCGTGAGGCCCCACAGCAGCTCCCCCGCCATTCAGTGAGTCACGTCTGCACAGGTCTAGACCTCAACCCTGGGGTGTGGGTCGGGAGCCTGTGCTCTCTCAGCCCTCGGGTTGGTTTTCACACCTGCTTTTCTTGTGTTCCTTAGGGTTTTCAGTGTTTTCCCAGCTAATCCTTCCCCTGTCACAGTGATTCCTCAAATGAAACTGTATAAATGCATGGTGTCTTTCTCTCGGCGGGTACAGATATGCAAGCCGACTTGTGTCAACACACCAGAGACAGAATGCACTCCTGGTTTTTGTTTTGTTTTGTTTTTGTTTTTGTTTGGTTTGGCTTGGTTTTTCGAGACAGGGTTTCTCTGTGTAGTTTTGGTGCATGTCCTGGAACTCTGTAGACCAGGCTGGCCTCGAACTCACAGAGATCCCCCTGACTCTGCCTCCTGAGTGCTGGGATTAAAGTCATGCACCACCGCCGCCCAGCCAGAATGCACTCTTCATCTCCTTTACAACACCTGGCTATTTAAGGGTCAACTCAGTGGTCTAGATGAGCTCTGGGCAGGGGATGTGAACGTGTAGAGGTGGCCTTTCTTGCCCATCCACTGGAAGACAGCAGTTACTGCTCCTCTCACCCCAAGAACCACCCCTCACACTTCCCACCGGGCAGCCGGTTCAAACGCTGGCAGAGATTCTGCCCAGAAGGCACCCAGAACCCATCTCACCCCTACCCCTAACTAGAACTGAAGGGATGTGAGATTTGAGAACCAGTCATCGTGACATCTTTGCCAAAGGGTCCCACATGTGACAAAGGCCAAAATGAGACCAGGCAATGCCGTCGCTGAGTCTGTCAGCCAGCTATCCATTATCGTAACAAGTGCCTGCGACAAATGATCTTGGAAAGAAGGAAGGTTTATTTGGCTCATGTGTTTTTTGTTTTGTTTTTTAATATTTGCAGTTTTCCTAACTAGTTTTCCTAACAGTTTTCCTTCTTTTTACTTTCTTTCTTGGATTTATTTAATTATTATGTACGCAGTGTTCTGCCTGCACATATGCCTGCAGACCAGAGGGGGCACCAGATCTCATTATAGATGGTTGTGAGCCAGCATGTGGGTGCTGGGAATTGAACTCAGGACCTCTGGAAGAGCAGCCAGTGTTCATAACCGCTGAGCCATCTCTCCAGCCCTTGTGATTTTGAGGTTCAGTTCATGATCAGTTTGCCTGGACATGGACATGGGATGGAACAGTAGATCCTGGTGGGAGCACATTGCACAGAGGCCTCTTTACCTCGTGGCCAGGTATGAAGAAAACTCAAAGAGGAAAGGGTGGGGTCCCACTAGCCATCTTTTCCCTCCTGCCTTGCCTTGTCTTGCCTTGCCTTTCTTTCTAAACATGTGCTTCTGTTTGTGTGTATGTGAGTGTCTCTGTGTGAGTGTGGGCACACCCTCACAAGCCAGATGAAGACAACTTTCAGGAGTCTGTTCATCTCTTTCCACCTTGGGTTCCAGGGTTGAACTCCGGTCACTGGGCTTTTTCGGCAAGTACTTTGCCTGCTGACCACCCCTCACCAGCCTTCCCACAATCCCTTGCAAGGACACATGCAGACCTCTCACTAGGTCCCAACTCGCATAGGTTTTGTCATTACCCAGGACCTCAAAACTGGGGACCAAGATTTTAACACATAACTTTCTTGGAATATTCAAGATCCACACTATAGCAAAGCCCCGAAAAATTTCAGGTGGTGTAAATCCTTTCTCCCTAGAGAAGCTTGTGAGTATGCCTCTAACTCCGACTGATGTAGGCTTCCGCCTCTAGCAAGTGAAGAGACCTAATGGATGCCACTAGAACCGATTGTTGGTCTGTTTTCATTTTGATTTTTTATTTTATATGAGGTTCATGTAACCCAGGTCAGTTTCAAACTCCCTGTGTAGCAAAGGTGGGCCTCCAACTTCTGATCCCCCTGCTTCTGTCTCCCAAGCACTGGAATTGTAAGCCTGTCACTACCACACCTGACTTAAACCAGTTCTTGGTGAATTATTACACTCTGGGTAGCTGGAAAGAAACAAAAACATTTTCTTTTTATATTTTTTTCTGTACATGTGTGCATGTGTTCACATTCGTGTGTGTGTGTGTGTGTGTGTGTGTGTGTGTGTGTGTGTGTGTGTGTGTGCCTTGTGTGGAAGCCAGAAGACAACCTAAGCTGTTGTTACTGGGGAGCAGTATACTTACTTTTTGAGCCGGAGTCCCTCTCTCTCTGGCCTAAGACCCAACAAATAGGCTAGGCTGGCCAGCCCATGAGCACTGTGGATCTTCCTGTCTCTGCCTCCCCCTATGCTGGGATTACAAAAGCATGACATAGTATCGGATTTTTTTTTTTTTTTTGATTTTTCGAGACAGAGTTTCTCTGTGTAGCTTTGTGCCTTTCCTGGAATTCGCTCTGTAGACCAGGCTGGCCTCGAACTCACAGAGATCCACCTGCCTCTGCCTCCTGAGTGCTGGGATTAAAGGCGTGCGCCACCACTGCCCAGTCATAGTATAGGATTTTAAACATGGGTTCTGGGGAACAAATTCAGGTCCTTGTGTTTGCAAGGCAAATACTGTACTACCTGAGCCATCTCCCCAGCCCCTCAACATTTTTCTTTCTATTTTTTTAATTAAAATTTATGACAAATTGCAAATTAAAAAAAATCATGCGGCAAAACATCTTCAAAGCAGACAGAACTCTTAGGCTGTCTATCTAGTTTAAGGCAGTTTCTATTTTTAAAAGGCTCAGATCAGAATAACTTTAGGTCTTTCTCTGGCTGGGAGAGAGAAGTCATGACACCTCTGCTGGTTTCTATGACAACCACCAACAGCTATGATAATGCCAATAAAAGAACCAGGGGACTTGGTCATTTTACCACATTGTGTGTATGTGCAGCCAGATGGGAGCTGACGTGTTACGAAGGCAAATGCACAATCCACTTAACCCACCTGTTGTGTCTCCATTTTCCAGGGGATTGTGGGTGGGTTAGCAAAGGGTAAGGCCAGGCCTTCACGCTCGCCTTCATGGGTTCTGCAGATGCATTTTTTCTGTCACTGGGAAGAGATTACTTGATGACCTACTTCCAGTTATACAAGTTAGACTGTCATGATTCCAGAGGGTGGTGGCTCGAAATAGCCCCGTGCATTCGTGCTCAGTGGCACAAGTTGCTTTCCCACAAAGAAGTTGATTCCAAAGGCCAGGCATGGGATGAGGCTCACTCTCAAGCATGCATGCCGCAGACTGCAGGTTCCAGGCTTGAGACGGACGGGCACAGAGGTCTCTGTCTTTCACTTTAGCTTCTCGTGTCCTTTTTCTGGGATCTTCCAGAAATGTCTCACTTCGTGATGACACATCACACAGGGCACAGGGCATAGGGCAAGGACCACAGTGCCGTCTTCTCACACTGCCTGAAACACGGCTTTCAGAATGCTCAGCTGAGGCTCTTTCACAGCACAGTAGGAATTCAGGACTGGAGGGAGATAGCCCAGGTTCACAGAGAGAGATTGCCTAGCATCTGTGAAGCCCTGGGTTTGATGCCCATGCACATTTCTGGGCAAGGTGATACAGGGCTACCCCAGCAGTTGGGGGTAGGGCAGAGGGTCAGAAATTCAAGGTCATTCTTGGTGAGTTCAAAGCCAGCCTGGGTTATAGGAGACCCTGTCTGGGAAAACAAACGACCCCCAACCCCCAGCCCCAGCTGGAACACCTGAGAGCAGGGTGTGGTGGTTTGAAAAAGTGTCCCCTATAGACCCATGTATTTTAACACTTGACCCCAAGTTCGTAGCTATTTGGGGAGGTTATGGAACTTTCAGGATGTAGATCCTTGCTGGAGGAAGGGCATCAGTTTGTAGCTGCACCCCACTTCCAGTTCTCTCTACTTCTCTCTGCTGCCGTGACAGACAACTAACTAATCCTCCGGAACCACAAGGCAAAAAGAAAACGACGACAACCTTCTTTCTTCTGTAACTTGCTCTCAGTTGTGGCCTTTGGTCACAGCAACAGAAAAGTACTAACACACAGGAGAAAGGTCTTCCTCTCAGTCTGTGTGCAGAGGACGGCCAGTCGAGACTTGCCTCTAAATGCTCTCCTTCTCCATTATTACTAGCCACAGGTCCACTCTAGTCACAGGAGTATCTCAGGAAAGTAAACATTCCAGAATTTATAGGCCTAGAGTAATAGTTTCTCCAGGATCGGCCTGATGGGCGGATGTGTCAAGGCATGTATATTTCTGTCTGTGTGTTGGCAGAGATTTGTTTATTCTGTGCTTTCTGTGTGCTGGACTCAGCGCTAGGCAACATGATCCATGACCTCTTGATATTTAAATTTTTGTGGCAACAAGGCCAACAAGCACCATTCCTGAGGAACACAGCAGGCTACATGTTTGGGCTGTCTCTTGGTAGCAAGGGCTGCTTGAGTTAAGCTGGGAAAAACACTAGTTGAGTCCCACTGTGTTCCAGCCCTGGTGACAACTGTTACCTGACTTAAGTTCATGCCAGTCTATGAGGTCGTACAACCTTACATAAGAACTGAAGCAGCTCCGTGAGATTCGGGGACATCCCACAGGCACACACTCAGAAAGTGGCTGAGTCAGAAAATGAACTCAGACTTTTGTGCCCTAATTCCTGCAAAATACATCCTCCGGAACAGAACAAGAGTTAACTCTGCCTTCCAGCTCAGAGTCTGCGAATGGTATGACCAAGGTCACTGAAATCGCCTCAGGTTGAGCTAGTACTAAACGTAGGTCTGTCCAGCCCCTGCTCTCCCGCATCTCCTCAGCTCATTACAGCCTGTCCCCTCACTGTTCTTTCCTTATGCCGGATGATAGCCGTCACCAGTGGCATTGCCCATGAAGTGGCATCGTGACTGTCGCTTTCGGGGTAGCGAAGCAAGTGGAGTAACTGATTCTTACTTCTGAGGTCCTTACAGAGCTGACCCTGGTACAGACTGAGAAACTGAGGCCACCCTTTGCCTTGGTTTGGCTGTTCCTGACCTACACTCCGTCTCACTATACAACAGACCTTCCCTCAAGCCCTGAGCTTCCTGTCTCCAGCTCCACCCAGACTGGCGGTCCCAAGCAAGCGGTCAGAAAACCAGGGTTCACTTTTGCCAGTTTCTATTTCTTGGCTGTTGGTAGCACTCAATGTGTGTAGGACAGAGGGGGGAATTTGTGAACAAAACAGCCCTGGGGGCATGTGCTTCTTGCCCACTACAGGAAGGAGATAGGAGCATTCATGCTGGCCTTTGAGCCCTGTGGCGCCTCCTTCTATCAGTTCTGTTCCTCTAGAGAACCCTGACTAATACAGATGCTCAGGTACCTCAGAGAGGAGCGGTAAACAGACAGAAAATTTGCACATTAATATTGATTGCTAGGTATTAGTAAGCACTTTACAATGTCTTCCATGGGGTGCTTGCACGTCTCCCATGCCAGGCATGCGCAATTCAGTGGCTGAGCAGGAAGAGGAACATTATCCGCTGCTGTCCATGCTTACACTGTATTCCTTTGTCCCTCATACATTAACACAAATGGGCAAAACAGCAAAAAAGGCAAAACTGGCCTTTTGTGTTTGGCTAATGCTTCTGCTGGTCCAAACAGTGTTCCGCAAGAAGCGGTGGTGTACACCTCTGATCCCAGTATTCAGTGGGCTGAGACAGAAAACTGGGAAGAGAATTCGAAGCCAGCCTGGACTACATGGTGAGAATGGTCTTGATGAGGAGGGGTCACGGGAGGAAGGAAATGGACAGGAGGAGGAGAGGAGGAAGACAAAGAAAAGCGTAGTTTACAAAGTTGACCTCTCCAAGAGAGTGAACCAGACGTCATCCGTGTCCTGAACCAGGCTTCAAAGGAGCCTTATGCTCAAGACACAGCGGGGCACAGTCACTGCATCTAATCAAGGTGGTGGGAAGGGTTATCAGAGTGCCCAGGGGCCTTTGTATTGGGAAGTGTGTGTGCCAAGGAAACCACACAGTCTTTGGGCAAGAAGAACCAAAGAGCTCCACCTAGTGACTTACTGAGTTCTTCTCGTGATAAAACCAGACCCAGGAAAGCAAGACTCCTCTTCACAGACGAGCCCAAAAAAAGAACTGTGCAAATAAAACACAAACCCCAAACCACTCCACACAGGACCTCCAACACATGTAAATCCAAGTTTTTTATATATAAATAATTAAAATATTTTATGCGAAAAGTTTTATGTTCATAAAACTATACTGGCAAGTAAATAATTTTCATTAATTTAGGAACCACAGCCCTCACCCCATGACACTTTCTGTATCGATGTCATCACTTTTTGTAGGCCATATCACCCATATGATCGTGGGATGTGCATCATTTGAAATGTTCATTACAATATTTAGGTTTTTACAATTCTTACAAACACTTAGGGTTTTGTATGCATTCGTGTTAAATTCATGTAACACACAGGGAAAAATTAATAAAAAACTATTTGGGAAATGAAGCATTCATTTGATGGGTGATATCGTTCTGTATGCTGTGAATGTGTTGCTCTGATTGGTTGATAAATAAAATGCTGATTGGCCAGTAACCAGGCAGGAAGTATAGGTGGGATGAGCAGACAAAGAGAATTCTGGGAAGAGGAAGGGCAGAGTTAGGAGTCGCCAGCCAGACACAGAGGAAGCAAGATGTGAAGGCAGAACTGAGAAAAGGTACCAAGCCATGTGACTAAACATAAATAAGAGTTATGGGTTAATTTAAGTGTTAAGAGCTAGTCTGTAATAAGTCTGAGGTAATGGCCAGCAGTTATAATTAATATAAGCCTCTGAATGATTATTATTATTATTATTATTATTATTATTATTATTATTATTATTATTTTTAGACAGGGTTTCTCTGTGTGGCTTTGTGCCTTTCCTGGAACTCGCTTTGTAGTCCAGGCTGGCCTCGAACTCACAGAGATCCGCCTGCCTCTGCCTCCCGATTATTTTATAAGCAGCTGAGGGACCGAGCTGCTGGGTGGGACACAGGAAAACTTCTAGCTACATTCATTAATGTGTATGAGGAAGTAAGAGTGAAGAAGAGAAGGAAGGCCTAAAGCCAGTGGGGTCCAGCCCTTCCTAAGCTATGATAAATGCCTAAAGCTATGACCTGGGGGCTAACAGAGCCTGGGTCTAGTGGGGGTGAGGGCTGGAGCCTATGTCTGTCAAATATGTTCCTGGAAGACAGAGATGGGTGTCATTGACAGACAAACAAAATACAGTCTTCCCTGGTGACCATGCATCACATCACATATGGAATTTGGCAACTCACGTGTGGTGGAGGCAACAGATGGAAACTACAGAAATAGTGTGTCTGACAGCTAGGTGTGGGTGGGTAATTAGCTGAAGTCAACATACGATAAAAATAAGAATGTGTCTTAGTTGGGGTTTCTATTGCTGTGATAAAACACCAAGACCACAAGTAAGTTGGGGAGGAAAGGGCTTATTTTACTTACACTTACACACGATAGTTCATCATGAGGATGTCAGGGCAGGAACCTGGAGACAGAAACTGAGGCAGAGGCCATGAAGAATGCCACTTACTGGCTTGCTCCTCATGACTTGCTCAACCTGCCTTCGTATTTAGCACCCAGGAGCACCAGCCCAGGGGTAGCACTTACCTCAGTGAGCTGGGCCTTCCCACATCAGTCGTCAATCAAGAAAACACACCACAGGCCAATCTGTTGGGGACATTTGCTCACCTGAGTTCCCCTCTTTCAAAATGACTCTAGTTTGTGTCAAGTGGAATAAAACTAGCCAGCACAGTATACATTCTTAGAATTAATCATTTTAGGACTATTTAAAGTTTTCATTTAAATATCATCCAGATAACACTGTCATATCTGGGACACAGGGATATTTTTTAACGTTTGATGCCAATACGTGTCCTGAATTACTTTGAAGCGGATCTGGACACTATCTGTGCTATGGTTTGGATGTGGTTTCGGCATGTTTCCCAAGGGTTCATGTGTTGGTGCTCGGTCCAAGTGCAGTGATAAGAAAAGTGTTGAAATACTGAAAAGCAGGGCCAGTAGGAGCCAGGTGCTCAGGCATTGCTCTTGGGCAGACCAGTGCAGTTCCTGAGGACCCCTTGGTAGTGCTCATCAGAGTGGGAGGATGAAGCAGTCAGTCTGTCTGTCTCTCTCCTGTGCTCTTTTGTTTTTTCTATTTTCAGCCCGAGTGCCTCGTGCATGCTGAACAAGCACTCTGACACTGTTTTCCTTTCTGTGTCTTTGTGACATAAACAGACGGCTCACCCGAACCAGAGACTAAGCAGTTAGGGCGGTCTACACTGGAACTTTTGGTCTTCGTTTGTTTGAGTTTTTTTGTTGTTTTTCTAGACGGGGTTTCTCTGTGTAGCTTTGGCTGTCCTGGAACTCACTCTGTTGACCAGGCTGGCAAACTCACAGAGATCCACCTGCCTCTGCCTCCTGAGAGCTGGGATTAAAGATGTGCACCACCTGGCCAGGCGGTGGTGGCACACGCCTTTAATCCCAGCACTCGGGAGGCAGAGCCAGGCAGATCTCTGTGAGTTTGAGGCCAGCCTGGGCTACCAAGTGAGTTCCAGGAAAGGCACAAAGCTACATAGAGAAACCCTGTCTCGAAAAACCAAAAAAAAAAAAAAAAAAGATGTGCACCACCACTACCACTACCACGATGACAAACAGCATGTGAAGATGCCAGTAAGCCACGAGCCACGTGGCAAGGTATAGATTTATAGAAATGGATTAATTTAAGCTGTAAGAACAGTTAGCAAGAAGCCTGCCACGGCCATACAGTTTGTAACCAATATAAGTCTCTGTGTTTACTTGGTTGGGTCTGAGTGGCTGTGGGACTGGCAGGTGAGAGAGATTTGTCTTGACTGTGGGCCAGGCAGGAAAACTCTAGCTACAAATGGTGCCCAACGTGTTGGCAAGAGTTTCCACCTAAAACCTGAGCAAAAAGATTCTAAAACGGAGGCAAAAACAACTTCCTAGTTGTTGCTCTCAAGTTAGCGGCAGCCTGCATGTTTGAGCTACTATGGCAGGTTCCTGACATGTGTGTTTGACCTGCAGTATGGTGGGAATGAGGCCTCTGCAAGTGGCACATTAAGCTGCGTGGTGGATTTAGCCTTTGCTAGTATAAAAAAAAAAAAAAAAAAAAAAAAAAAAAAAAGAGGTTTCTGGGCTACACACTGCTTGGATAAAAGCATAGACCCACGATAGCTCCCAGAGCTAGAGGTAAACATAACACCGCCATGTTGGGAAGCTGAGGTGGGCGGAGCCAGCAGCCACAGCTGCTGTTTCAGTCTTAGAAATGCTGCAGTTTAAAGCAATAGATTCACAATAAGACAGATTCAGATGTAATAGTTTACAATGTGTGTAAAATATACGTAGGCTTGAAAGAGACAAAAAAGGTGATATATACAGTTATAGAAACAAATACATAGTTTTAAAAAATAAAGTCTTTAAAGAGACAGTAAAATTAATATAAAAAATAAGCCACGTAAAGATGAATATTACACAGAGAATCTGGATTGTGTTGTCTTTGGGATTTTTAACTGTAGAAAAACATTTGATTGTAAAAGCTGTTGAGTTATGCCAAAATGTATATTTTAAAGATACCTTGACTTCAAAATTTGGATGTAAGGATGTGTTGCTTTCGAAAGGAGACTCTGCTTTTGTTTCCACAGAAAGCAAGAGGCTATGGATTTGTTCCAGATTAAGATACATCAGGTTTGACCAGCCAAGATCCCCTGAAAGGTCTCTGATAACATCATGGCCCAGATGATTCAACATCCAGAATGGTTTGAAGGCAACTGGCTCAGACAATACAGCCTCATAGACTATTCCATAATCCTAAAATTTTCTTTGTGTCCCCATAAGATACAGCATCCCCCTCCAGCAGGAAGTAGTAAGAGAAGCTACGCCCAAATTCCCAAATTATATGTAATTTTACTTTGTTAAGGTTAAAACCTTCCTTTTTGAAAAAAAAAGAAAAGGGGAAGTGCTGTGGGATGTTCTGTATGGCAAATGTGTTGCTCTGATTGGTTAATAAATATAACACTGATTGGCCCGTAGTCAGGCAGGAGGAAGTATAGGCGGGACAAGGAGGAGAATAAAGCTGGGAAGTGGAAGGCTGAGTCAGAGACACTGCCAGCTGCCACGATGACAAACAGCATGTGAAGATGCCAGTAAGCCACGAGCCACGTGGCAAGGTATAGATTTATAGAAATGGATTAATTTAAGCTGTAAGAACAGTTAGCAAGAAGCCTGTCACGGCCATACAGTTTGTAACCAATATAAGTCTCTGTGTTTGCTTGGTTGGGTCTGAGCAGCTGTGGGACTGGCGGGTGAGAGAGATTTGTCCTGACTGTGGGCCAGGCAGGAAAACTCTAGCTACACCGCCCGGCAAACTTTTGGTCTTTAATATTGAGCTAAGTAATTTTTGTTGTTTTTAAAGTTCTTAGTTTTAGGCATTTGTCATAGAAACAGAAAACAGCTGTCTTAGATACTTTTCCATTGCTGAGAAAAAAACAAAACAAAACAAAGCCACCATGACCAAGGCCACTTATAACAGACAGAATTTAATCCATCCTGTAGTTGTAAAGGTTTAGGATCCATGATAGTGGAACAACTGTAGAGAGTGCAGCAACAGCTGAGAGCTCCTGTCTTGATCACAAGTAGAGACAGAGAACTAACTCAAAATGGTAATAGTCTTTTGAAACCTCAAATCCCACCTCCAGTGACACACTTCCTCCAACAAGGCCACATCTCCTAATCCTCCCCAAATAGCCACCAACTAGGGACCAAATATTCAAACATGCAGGCCTATGGGGGCCATTCTCATGCAAACTGCCACATTTCACTCCTCAGCTCCCATAGCTCCTGGCCATATCATAATACAAATGCACTCAGTCCAACGTCAAAAGTCCCCACAGTCTATCACAGACTCCACAATGTTCTAAAGTCCAAGCCTCTTCGGAAACGCAAAGCAATTTCTTAACTGTAACCCCTTGGAAAATCAAAAAGCAAATCACACACTTCCAACACACCATGGCACAGAATATACATTACCATTCCAAAAGGGAGGAATGGGGGCATAGTGAGGAAGTACTGGACCAAAGCAAGACTGAAACCCAGCAGGGCAAACTCCACATCCTGTAGCTGCGTGTCTGAGGTCAGAGGACCTGGATGGTGCTGTCCTTTGAGCTCTGCTGCCTGCAACACACGTCTCTCTTGGGCTGTTCCACTCCTGGTCTGCAGCTTTTCCTGGCAGACATCTCATGCTCTGGCACCTCTATTTATTACACTTATTTATTTGTTTGTTTGTTTAGTGTGTGTGTGTGTGTGTGTGTGTGTGTGTGTGTGTGTGTGTGTGTGTGTGGTTGGTTCTTTCTGTCTACCAAATGTGTCCCTGGGATTGAACTAGGGTCCAGGCTTAATGGCAGGTGCCAAAACCTGCTGAACCAACTCACTAACCTTTCTTTTTTTTTTTTGGCAGGGTCTCTCGGTGAACCTGGAGCTCTCTGATTCGGCCTGAGTGGCCGGCTAGCAAGCCCTAGTTATCCTCCTGTCTCTACCTTTCCAAAGCAGTGGCCAGCCATGGGGGTTGGAATCTAACTCCAGTCCTCATGCTTACACACAAGCCTTTTACTGGCAGAGACTCTCCCTCGACCCCGAGTACCTGTAGTTTTCATCTGGCCCAGCTGGCTAGTGCCAACCATGCTACCAGTCTTTTCTTCCTTTATTTTTTACTCCCTGTTACAATCTGACAATAACCAGCCAGGTGTCTGTTTCTCCTTTCTCCCCTAGGCCGATGAGCAAGCTTCTCTCCTTCTCCCTTGATCTACCATGTAGCTCTTTGTCCACATCTGGTGCTATGTTATTGCTTTCTACACTCGTTGGGCAGAGAACCTTTGCTCAGAATCACTGACTTTATTTAAACTTTTGATTTTTTTGTTCATTGTGATTTTTAAAAATGTTTACTTAAAATAGTTATTATCTCAATTACTCTCTTGATTCTTCCATATCTAAACCCTGCTAATCGGGGCCAGTACTGGCTTCTTCTCTGGACTCTCTTTTTTAATGAATTAAAAGTTGTCCCATAACACAAGGGTTCTCAGCATAGTGTTTGACACCACCAACAGTACAACCTGGAACAAGTGTCTTCTCTTGCTTATTCTGCCTAGAGTTAGTTCCTCTCCTCATTTGCCACATAGACAGCAATTAAGCCATCTACGCCCCAATTAGGGATAGCAATGCTTTGCTGTAGCCATGTATTCATAGATCTCATTTCAGAGCCTAACACACAGGAGGCTCCCTGGGAATGCTTGCTGAATGGCATTAAATGGCTTTTTACATGTACTGGATACAGATCACACAATTACAAAATTAAATTTAGGAGTAGTTTTATATCTACAGCATGCTATAGCTTGGATGTTGAGTGTCCACCAAAGGCCCACGTGTTAAAAGGTGGGCTCTGGGTGGAAGGCAGGTGCAGAACTGTCAGAGTCCTCCTAGTCTCCTACCTCTGCTGATGGTTGGTGCCTCTGTGTTAGTCCCGGGCCCTGAGGTTCTGGGGGACTACTGTGTGGAGGGAGTGCAAGGTTTGGTGGGGGCTGCTAACGTGAAGTCCTTAAACCATTGCGGGAATGACTACAAGGGAGAGTGTAGCAGCCACCCCCTTCCACCTGCGTTTCTGGGTCATGAAGTGAGTAATTCGCTCTGCTTTGACCTTCAGTCATCACCATCCAGAACGACCACCAGAGACCCAAAGCCATAGGCACACCAGATCAAAGGCTGGGACTACACAAACTGCAGACCAAACAAGCCTTTTCCTCATCATAAGCTATTTTTTCAGGTATTTTATTTATTTATTTATCTATCTATCTATCTATCTATCTATCTATCTATCTATCTATCAATCTATCTATTTATTTATTTATTTAGGTGTATATGGGTGCTGCTGGGAATCAAATTTGGAATCTCTGGAAAAGCATCCAGTGTGCTTAACTGCTGAGCCATCTCTCCATACCACAGTATTTCTTGATAGTGAGAGAAAACTAACTAGAGCATTTTAAAGAGGGGGTGGGGGTGGGGTGGGTGTCACATGCTTGTAATCCCAGGACTCAGGGACTGGTGCAGGAGGACTCAGAACCTGAGGCCATTTGGGACTGTGTCTCAAAACAAAAGCAACAACAAAATTTTAAGCAAGTTTAAGACAAACAGCAAAACAAAACAAAACAAAAAACCCTACTTAACAATAATCAGTAATTTGGGAAGCCCTCAAAACCAGAACTGGTTCTAAGAAACCCAGAACGGCATTAAAGTCAAGCGAGATTTACAACGCAAAACTGCAAATGGAGCAAACTGAGTGACTTCATTGGATACAGGTCATTTAAATAAACTGGCCCGGCTACTGCACCCCATGGACATTTTACTATCTGTATAATACGTCTCAATCAGCAGGAATGGATTTGGTCTGTAGTAGCTCCCAGAATAGCTCAGTGGGTACAGGCACTTACTGCCGAGCCTGACATCTTGAGTTTGGTCCCTGACTCCGGAAAAGTTCTCCTCCGGCTCCAACACACGTCCACAGACAGATATACAAATAAACAAGTAAATGCATTTTTTTTTTTAAAGCAAATCTAGCCCAAAGCAATCATCTCTGACAAATTCACCAACCGAGAAAGGCTGGATGACAGTCCCGGGCACTCAGCCCCGTCACCAGCGTCCCTTTATTGCTAATACGCTTCCCCTCCGCCTCCACCCGGGCTTCCCAAACATGCCCGGCACACGGGCTTCCAAAACTGCAGCGGGCGCTCAGCGTGGGCGACCCCCGGGCTGCCTCTTTTCGCAATCCCCCCCGGAGAAGCGGGAAGAACCGGCCCGCCCCGGTCCGGCCTCAGAGAGGACGCGACGCCTCGGGCGGCCAGAGCCGTGCGGGTCGCCGGGCTGCGGGCAACATGGGCCGCCGGCCGCTCCTGTCCGCCAGCGACGCCGACTTGCAGCCGGAGCCGGACGAGGTCCCGCGGCCGCCGCCGCCGCCGCCGCCGCCGCCGCCGGCCGCCCCGGAGGCCGCGCAGCCGCGGGAGCGCGAGGAGGCGTGGGCGTGGCCGTGGGCGTGGCCCGCGCGCGGGCCGAAGGGAGCCGGGCGCTCTAGCCGCGGCGGCGACGACGACGTCGGCGGCCAGGACAGCGGCGGTTGCTGCGCCCGGTACTGGGGTCGCCGCCTGAGGCGCAGGCGCGGTGGACTCAGCCCGCCCCGGGCTGCGGCTCGCTGTGGACTCGTCATGGCGACGGAGCAGAGGCCTTTCCACCTGGTGGTGTTCGGCGCCTCTGGCTTCACCGGCCAGTTCGTGACGGAGGAGGTGGCCCGGGAGCAGGTGGCCTTGGAGCAGAGCTCCCGCCTGCCCTGGGCCGTGGCGGGCCGCTCCAAGGAGAAGCTGCAGCAAGTGCTGGAGAAGGCTGCCCTGAAGCTGGGTAACGCGGCGGCGGCGGGGTGGGCAGGGCCGGGCTGGACCGGGCTGGACCGGGCTGGACCGGGCGCAGGTCGCCGAGGCATGGGTGGGTGTCTCCCCCTCCCGTGTGCGGCTGCATCGAGCCCTGCCCGAGGACGAGGACCCGACGCCTGGCCGGGCCGGGCCTTGTTCCGTCCCTAAATGAAAGAAAGACAGAATGAAAAGGCTTTTCTCTCCCAGTTTGGGGAGCCCCGCCGTCGAAATAAGAACTTTGGGCGCGCCTCGGTCCATCTCTGTCGTTCTGATGGGTTTGGAGGGTTCTTGGTACTCTCCGTCGGAAAGGGGAATAAGATACCGATTTCTCAGAGGTCCGTTGGCGTTTGTGTTTGGGAACAAGAAAGCAAGCTTGAGTTGTACTCATCACATTATAGGGCGCTTATTTATCTGTTTATTTTGGTGATAGGGGTTTATCTCAGCACTTCCGAACGTGCTGTGCATACCACTAGCTGCTGGGTGTTTTTATTTGTTGTGCTTTTGGTTTTTAGTTTGTGGTTTTGCATGTAGAAATCCTCCAGCAGTCCCGATTTTGGGTGTTGGAGGCAGTGTAGGCTGGCCTGGCCCTAGAGATCCCCTTGCTTCATCTTCCCAAATGCTGACATTAGCACTGCCACGCCCCCTGCAGTCATCTTATTCTTCATAAAAATGTGGCCTTCCCGCCTCGCTTTTTATGTTTTGGCTGTTTACTTATTCTTTCGACTTCTGTTCAACATACATTTACTGAGTAGTATTTTCCTTACTAGGCCTTCTCCTAAGTGTTGTGGGGCACACATGGGAGCGAGAAGGGACACACACACACACACACACACACACACACACACACACACACACGTCCTACTTTCTAGTTGGGGGAAGCACTTGACTTAGAACCCAATAGCCTTGGACTTTGGCAACTAAATCTCCACCTAAGACAAGTCACACTTGTTCTCCATTCTTTCTGTTCAGTCTTACAGCTCCACACACACAGAGTGAGAATACACCGTCTTTTGTTCTGTGGTTATACATAGATGATAGCATGCAAGCTAGATTCTCCTACAACTCTTAATGCTGCCACTGCTAACACAGAACGTTGGCAGAGAGGTTTTGGATGTTTATTTATGTTTTCTGGAAAACATGTCATTATTAAAATACAATTTTTCATTTTCCATTTTCCTTCCTCAGTGAGGTGCTATAGCAGTGGTTCTCAACCTGTGGGTTGGGACCCCTTTGGGAGTCAAATGACCCTTTCACGAGGGTCATCTGAGACCATGGGAAAACACAAATATTTATATAACAATTCATAACAGTAGCAAAATTACAGTTATGAAGTAGCAATGAAAGTAATTTTATGGTTGGGGTCACCACACCATGAGGAACTGTATTAAAGGATCACAACATTAGGAAGGTTGAGAACCACTGCTCTATAGTTATAGCCTCTTACTTACTTACCATCTACACTGCCAAAATTAGGTGACTTTGGAGAGTATGCCCTGAGTCAGTGGAGATTTGCATTGCTCTATTGGGTCGATTAATTCCAGTTATTTCCTTATACACTTGAATGATTTTATGTAGGCTGGACTACTTAAAAAAGAATTCACAGGGCTGGAGAGATGTCTCAGCAGTTGAGAGCATGTACTGCTCTTGCCGAGGATCCATATTCAGTTCCTAGCACCCATGTTGAGTGACTCACAATCCCCTGTAACTCCAGCTTCAGGAAAGATCTGATACCTTTGGTCTCCTTGGGCTCCTGCACTGAAGTGCACATACATACATACATATAGATGCACACACATTAGAAAAATAATAGCGGGGGGGGGGGGGTTGGTGGAGGCACACACCTTTGATCCCAGCACTTGGAGGCAGAGGCAAGTGGATTTCTGTGAGTTTGAGGCCAGCCTGGTTTACAGAGCGAGTTTTGGGACAGCCAGAGGTGTTACACAGAGAAACCCTGTCTTGAAAAACAAAAAAAATAATTAAAATGTAATAAATCCTTAAAAATGTTAAAAAAGTGAATTGGCCTGAGTCCTGTTTAGTTCTCATGGTGTTGACTTTTGACAGTCTCCTTCCACTTCCTATAATGGATCATATATAATTGTTTAGTAACTAGTTCTGTGAGAGAAATATCTTGGAGAGGAAGACAGAGCAATCATCTACTCAGCACCTAGACTAGATGGTAAAGTTTTCGTGGTTGAAAGTTTTCAGTATGTTAGTCCATTTAGTAACTTTGCAGTCACTGACTAAAGAGGTGATCTAGAAGGTCTCAAATTGATGTAGACTTGCTTGAAATGACTTTTTTTAACTTTAGGGAGACCGACACTGTCATCTGAAGTTGGAATAATAATCTGTGATATCAGTAATCAAGCCTCACTTGATGAAATGGCTAAAAAGGCTGTGCTTGTCCTCAACTGCGTAGGACCTGTAAGTAATCAACCCTTCTTTGTATCAGAACAAACAATCCTTTCATTTCTAGCAAAAGCTGGCATTTTATGTTCCAGAGGAACAGACGGGCAG